TGGCCAACCGGCCATTTGCTGCTGGCCTACACATGGCTTTGCTTTTAACTGCACTGTAAAGATTTAGATATACTACTTTTACTTAACTTAGTGAGTTTTGTTTTACGGCGCACTCAGCACTATTCCAGCTATATGGTGGCGGTCTGTAAATAATCGAGTCTGGACCCGACAATCCAGTGATCAACAGCATGAGCATCGATCTGCGCAAATGGGAACCGATGACATGTGTCGCCCAAGCCAGCGAGCCTGACCACCCGATCCCGTTAGTCGCCTCTTAAGACAAGATTGGGTTACTGAAGATCAACTCTATCCTGGACTTTCACGGGTGACTTAACTCAGGAATACACGAACATATCTATATCCCCCCTAAAACCTACATCCCGCCAAATTGCCAACAATAATAGTCAAAAAACTCTGAGATTGATTTACTATACAGTGGACTCTGAATTATCCGACAATCTGTGTATTCCGACATATATTTTTGGGCCCCGGCAGCGTTCTTCTATATTATCATCATATTAATATTGAATTATCTGACATCTGTACTTTCAGAATTCCGACACCACATTCTGGTAACAATGACACTATCACGCTGTACAATCCGACATCCTCTCCCAATATTAGACTAAAATAGCCAATCAACCTGTCAATGGCTACAATGGAGGATTTTTTCATGAAAGTGTGAATATGATTGTGATTGGGTAGTCCGCATGGTATGTACATTGTACTGAAGAGAATAAATACCAATGATACATGTGTATGTAAATACTGATTTTGTTTTTTCCCTTTATTCACCGAGTAAATAGCTATCAAACATTGATTTCATGAAGCCAGTTACAATGTATGGTACTGTTTGAAAAGTATTCAAGCAACGAGACAGTGAATTATCCGATACGCTGTATAATTCGACATGTTCCCCCGGTCCCAGTCAGTGTCGGATTATACAGCTTCCACTGTATCTACTGAAATTATTTTGGTGTGCAATGCATTGTTTACTTATTTATAGATAGAAGAAGAAAAGTATTTTAGAACTTTTCGTTTATAATGATAGTTTCCTTTCTTGATAAGCAACCACCATTCTTAAAAGTAGACACTTCAGAGATCGATTTCCCATAAGATTAGGCAGATCGATCAGGCACCGTAAGTGCCCAAATCTATTCTAATGAACTCTTATAGCTTACAGAATTCTCAGGATCTTGACATGAACAAGTATCACAGTTTGGAATATGTCATCTCTCATTGTGCTTTTGGTTGAGCTATTTCAGTAGAATGGGCGGTTTTACGATGCGTTTATTTCACATACTATTTTTTCACATTTTTTTATTCACTTCACTTGGATACACTTTGTATGAAACAATCCGTGGACATAGTTTTGTAATGATATATAATGAGAAATGGCATGTCACTTTGTTTCAATTTCACTGGGAAATAAATATGTAAAACTGGAACAAACGCAGATACACTTGAGTAGAACTATTTCATTGTCATAATCACAGAACATTTTGGAGCTTAATCCATTTTCTCTCAAATAAATTCATATTGAAATTGTTTCTGGCAATATATTTCTCAATGTCATACACATCTTTTAATAACCCTTTATATGTGGTCAAACTTGGTTTCACACCCTTGATATTCCTGACAAAAATGTGGCGCTTGGCTAGTATGATCATATGGTTGAGCAAGGGGTCGCTATTCGCACAAAATAGTATATCTTGAGCTGAGAGTACGAATGTTCTGTACAAGACACAATTAACAAAACCGGTGAATTCTTTCCAGAATAATCTAATGATGGGACTTTCAATATATACATGATAAATATTCTCACTTACGTCACACGATATTCATATGTCATTATCAACTAGTTTCATTTTAATGTATAAATAAGTCTATTAATAAATTTGTATTGAAAATCCAAAAAAGCTTTGGGTCTTTAATGGTTAGTCTATATTGCACAAATATGGTCTTCCAATCGATATGATCGTTTATTTCACTTTCCCATTTATCGAATACGTTTGGAAAATTGGATTTCGATATGAGACTCGTAAACTAATCTATATCCTTTAGTCGGTATGATAAGATCATTCCATGGGGAACTTATCGATACCTTTGTTATGTTTGGGTGTCCAGCAGTTTGAATGACTTCTTTCCATTTTGGGGGAATACTGACGATGACACGATTTATGTCAAGTACTGTGCCCTTAATATCAAATTTTGTTTTAAGTTCTGCAAATGAGAGTACCTCTTGGTCATTGAAAATGTCTTTAATATTAACAATTCCTTGTTTGAACCAGTTATTGATTATCAAATATGTGTTGCAAAACTGGTGATTTAACCAGAGAGGTTGCATAACAATGTCGTTTATGTTGATATGATTCACTACATATCCCTTTATATATCTATGCCAGGCATCAAGTGCATCTTTATCTCACATACTTCCCGCTATCTTATTATTGAATCCTGAGAATGAATCAACTTACCCGCTTTTCTACATATCGCCATATCGCTGTATCGTCATATCGCCATATCGCAATGTCGCTGTATCGCAATATCGCGTCGCCATATCGCAATATCGCCTTTTCGCGTTATCGCTTTATCGCAATGTCGCCTCTTTTTATCGCCATTTCGTGTCGTGTTATCGCCATTTCGTGTCGTGTTATCGCCATTTCATGTCGTGTTATCGCCATTTCGTGTCGTGTTATCGCAATGTCGTGTCGAGTTGTTGCCATTTCGTGTCTTGTTATCGCTATATCGTGTCTTGTTATCGTCATGTCGTGTCATGTTATCGCTATTTCGTCTTTGGCTATATCGCAATATCGCTATATCGTGTCGCCATATCGCAATATCGTGTCGTACTATCGCTTTGTCGCGATATCGCCTAGATTTCTTCAGGGCGATAAAGCGATGGCCCGAATGAGCCACCATACCCGTAAAACTTTCCCCCTAACCTTTGGACTTCATGATTTATGTGCATTCCCCCTTTTCCCAAATCCTGGATTCGCCCCTGAACTCGGACAGGTTGCATCCGCCGACGTACTCTAGAATCATAACTAGGCGTCCCATGTGAGGTGAGGTGAAATTGGGTTTAACGTCGTGCTTGAGAATATTCCGCTCATATGATGACGTGCATGTGTGTGTATGTGTATGTGCGGCTGCTTGTACTAGCCCAGACTTAAGCTGGTTTTATAGTGCTAGCCCACTGAGATACCATGCCGCAGTGAAGCATGAATATCCCACTCAGACACATTGTACTGACTCCGAGCCGACCAGTCCTTGTTGTACCCATTAATGCCGAGCGCCAGGCAGGGACCAACAAGTACCATATTTGAACGTCTTTTGGTATGACGCGGTCGGGGATCAAACCTGCGACCTTCCGCTCTCCGGGGCGTCCCATATGTTCAAATAGTTCATACGTCTTGATAATGTTCTTGTGTTGGACTTGGCGAAGGGTATTGAACTCAGATCCACGCCTTTGATCCACGCTGTTTTCCTCGGGTGCGATACCTTAGCTGCAAACACTTCGCCGTCTTTGAACACATTGTATATCGTCGCAGTAGAGACTGACTCCAAGAAACAGGTAGCCACGGACTGTGACGCCGAGGAACGGGTCGTGTGGGAGTGAGAGGAGATACTCCTCCCCATGTGGTTGTACAGGTAACCGCCAGTCTTCAGGGTGGCGCTGATGGCAAGAAATCGGGTGAAATGCTTTCTATCATTTGGCAAATACTTGACAGATAAGATGCTTCAATGTGTCTGAGCTGTAAAAGTGTCAAATGAAAATTAAATACTGAGCACATTATCTCATTAATTACCTCTGCATTTTTTACACAGTGTGTGGTGATAATTTATTGTGTAAAGTATCCATATTAAGCCTAGTGATCAAAGCGTTCGCTCGTCACGCCGAAGACCCGGGTTCGATTCCCCACATGGGTACAATGTTTGAAGCCCATTTCTGGTGTCCCCCGCCGTGATGTTTCTGGAATATTGCTAAAAAGCGGTGTAACTCACTCATTTATTTAGAAAGGGAGCAGGTCAGATGGAATCAGGAGAGCGGCACCAGAAAATAACAGCCTTCACGGGAAGGGCATACAAAACAGAAGAAAAAACATTGTTAGGGTGGGTCATGAAAACATTGATTTGTTATAGTGAAATGTGAAAGCCTTTTTACGTTTTGTCATAAAATTGTGTGGAGGTCAAAGGGAGGACTTCCAAAAATATGAAAAGCGTCAGTGAAGGGTTGATATTTTGAAAAACGAAAAACTTCTAAGGTTGGTAATGGTGATGATTATCGGAAGTTTACATAAATAAAACTTCAATCATTCAAGTTGCATTTGTTTGACCATTGTTGATAATGTTGGGAAGATAAAACCCATTTAATCTAAAATACCTATTACACATATTGTCCTTACAATAATTTATAGTGAACATAAATACTTTGGTGCTATACCATTCTCTCACATGAAACACCACATGATATGTTCAAATACGAATATTACAAACAGTTATTATTTACTTTATATACCTTTGTTGGTGTTTTTTTCTTTTGAACATATTTTATTCAGTATTAAAACGGATGGACACAAGTCATTCAACTTAATAAAGCCCTCTCCTTACATGGACAAAAATACATGTAATGGACAATGAACATCGGTAAGACATATTACACATTATTGAAACGCGAACCACGTACAATGAATTTATGAACTTGACTAATTATATTTTCATTTATAGTTTGTGGCAGACTGAAGCTGCCGTACAGAATGGTGTTAATATGTAAATCTAACTTTTAGGATTTCCAAGCCTTGTACCAAATCCCTTGTAAACAGACACATTTTATTAACTCATGGCCCAGGGTTATCACCCTCGTTAAAATATCCTAGGTCTATCTCAATCAGGTCCTGTTCCGCAAAACTATTTCAGTGCTATGATCGTATCCAGTTCTGTAAATTTGGTTTGTTTTCAAACCGCGCTAGTACACGCGTAAACGCAGCCAAGGGACGTAATCGTTATTGGAACTCTTCCATTTGTTAGGGTGAGAAAGTGTCTTTCGTAAATATATTCGCGTAGTCACGCTTTGAGATTGAACATTTCGGAATCACAGTACAGGAAACATGGTAAGGCATGATAAAGTTGATATACCTAGATATTTTGTTATGATTTATGTAATTTATTCATCTCAATGTGATTTTACGAGACATTCAAATGCAGTAATTAACTCCAAGTGTTTTGCTGTACCGGTATCGGCGTGCTTTTGATTCAATTTAGCTTTGTCATATTAAACGCTGTTAAATGTGTGTCCATTGCTCGTTCTTCTAAGGTAACATTGATCTTATTCTTATAGTGATTCTGGTTCAGATGTTTGTTAAATTGTCTGAAGAACATTTTAATTAAGTCGAGATATTTCTACAATGCTGATACACTGGTCCCTGTACCTTATTGTCCTGTTTTCGATCAGTCACATAGACCGGATTGAAGATATCGTTTCTCAAAGGTTAAACAATGATCCATTAACAACTGATTAACATTCATCGTACAAATGATGTGACAAAGTGATTGCAATGGTACACCAAATGACCAAAAATACCACATCATGATTACTTAGTTGATCATAATTGTTAGATGCAGATTACTATCCTACATGCACTGGCTGCTTATACATCATATGCACATATCTATTGAGTCAAGTCTTTGTAGCATCTAATGAATACCAGGTCTTCTTTTGTCAATAGTCTTCACAAGGTTAATGAGAGAGTAATTTACAGAATATCATGGAAAGTTGTATACCCCCTTTCTCTTGTACTGTTTACTGTGTTTAAAAGTGGTAACAAGTTTACCTCTCTTTCGGTGTTCTTATTTTATGACAGCTACGAGTCTTATATGTCTAAGAGCCTGATGATGAACTCCAGTTACTATTTGTAGACTCATTAATCACGATATAACATCATTGTCATATCAACATGATCAACAGATCTTTGTCTGTTGATAGATTGCCTAATAATCATAATGGTACTCATGTACTAGAATCTGTATGAAGATTTCCTGCTGAAAACATAAAGTTAAAGTCCATACCAGCTAAAATTAATTGAGGTCTTCATTGCCCGTGCCAATCACAGGCTTTTCAGGTCCATGATATGCACAGGAACCTGTCATATGGCTGGTATAGTGTGGTGTTCGCCAAGAAACATGGTGAACAAGCAAAGTTTTGTATGTTGAACCTTTTCCTGTCTGAGTTTTAAGGAAGAATACTGTGCAATTAATTCTTTTTTTTTCAGTTTCGAAATCAATATGATAATGACGTCACAGTTTGGAGTCCACAGGTAAGTAAAATATGTGTAAAATAACAGCTACAGGGAGCATAAGGTGATAATGATAAAGTCCTTTTGTGGCAAACAAACCTAATAGTGATCATTCCACTGTTTCAAGGCATATTGTTCTTAAATATTTGACATTTAGAGGACAGGTTTGATCTTATTAGTCTCATTCTAGCATTATTGATTATTTGTACTATATATGTTATGCTGCATTAAATAAACATGACATCTATTGCAATACAGAAGTTGTCTATTCAAAGAAAGTTAATATTCATCCTACCAGCTTCTAAATGCCACTTAAAGAAGATGCATTAGCTGTTCTCCTGAAACAGGGGTCAAGGAAACTTACTATTTATAGAAATTTTAAGCCAAATTTAAGATACACTCACCAATGAGTATGTCAAGTGTTGGGATTTGGTCCTAAACTTTAATCATGTTAATTAATGATTAGGTCATTTCAACTGATTGTTCATAAAAATTAATAATATGGTGTCCTTTTCCTGTTTTTGAATGTTACGTTCAATAAAACTTAGAGACACCTGACAAACACAAACACTGGTGTTTATTTCTGCATTTTATTTTGAATAAGCATTAGTCTTTCTCTCACTTTTCAGTCCTGTGGTGAATGTACTTAATGGTTAAACTTAGAGACACCTGACAAACACAAACACATGTGGTACAATGTGTGAAGCCCATTTATTGTCAGCATTTTATTTTAAAATAAGACAACCAAACTCAGTCTCTCAGTCTCACTTTTTTCTCAAAGTTCTCAGCAGTAAGTCATGAATAAAATCACTCAGGAGATAACATTATCTGAGGGTTAAGAGTAGTGGAAGGGTAGTTTTCAATTTATTTTCTGCTTATCAACTGGAGCACCACAGGTGAAGCCAAATAATGTTTCTGTAAAATTGGCCTTTGACTTAAAACCCCACTCACTCCTTGTTCACTCAGCCATGAAATATGTTCACTGAAATATTAATGTAAAATTGGCCAGCAATATGAATTAGTAAGAGCTCCAGATAAATTCTGTATTTGAATTTTTTTGTAAAATTATGCAGATTTAATCACTATTAACCACTTAATTTTCAGCTTCTTGTTTTCAAATATGCATGAAGAAATTTGATAACCCAGAATTATATCAACATACTGTCTTTTGAGCCAACATAGCTTTTTCAGAAGAGATGTCTTTGCAGTTCATTCCTTATTGACTGAATGCAGGCAATACATATGCATGATATTGACTTCAGTATGTAATGCACAGATGTGCAACATCTTGTATAGAGAACATTAACTTATTGATGGTTGTAATTTGACATGTCTCCATGTCTTTAATTTCTGCAATATATGACTCACTTTGGCTGAAGGGGTCGTTGTCGGCACGGGTACTACAGATATGTACCCCAGGTACCTTTCTGTATAGAGAAATGTACCCTGGCCATAATGAGAATACAGAAAGGTACCCTAGGACGATTCCATTCCCATTGTGTCGTATTCTTGATCGGAATTGTCATGCTGTTGTATTAGATACATTCGATTGCTTTATATAAGTAATGAAAATACACAGTAACGGATATTTCGCGATGCATATGAATACCAATCGCAATCAGTTGAACGGGAACAACTACATGCGGTTGGATTGCGGAATATGGACACGTCCGCCTTTTATGGTACCAGGTACGTTTCTGTATTTTGACTTTGTTTAGGGTACATATCTGTATACAGGGGTACGTATCTGTAGTACCTGTGCCGACAACGACCCCTTCAGCCTCACTTTGGGCAGCATACCAATATATACAAATTAAAACTAAAAGTCATATGAAAATAATTGGTACCAAATATTTTCAGAAATGTTTACTCATCAGTCTAATAAGGCAAATGATTGGATCCGAGTCTAAATATATATAATCATGATGTATACCCCCAAAATGCTATAAATATTGAATGTGAATGATTGCATGAGAAATGGCATTTGAAACTAAAACTAGTTCATCTTAACATGTTCCCGATTTAAAGACATGTTGACAACAACATGTACCTGCCATGATTTATTATCATAATCCCAGGGCTTCAGATAAGGGCTGTATCGGCGTATGTACGGATACAAAATATGCACGATACGGTAGCAAATAATTTAGAAAACGTAGCAGGTACGCACCACAGCAATGGTGTACGGTCTTAGAATCATTTACAGACGTATTTATCTGAAAAAAATATTGGTTTATTGTTTATTGACCTGTTTACACAAGACTATCAATGTTATGGTGCATATATGAAACAAAACACAAGGTTACTGATCCGCCATTAAAATCCACTCAGTACTCTAAATGTAGCCTCTTTAGGGTTTTCAATCCCCACATGGGTACAATGTACTCCTGTAGTGAAAAATATGGAAAACCAAACTCAGTCAGTCAGTCAGCCTGTATGAAAAAATATGGAGTACTTACTCCTGATGTTGAAAAATTATCTGGAGCCCTGATAATCCTGTTACTTATCTCAACTGTATCCTTAAGGAACAAAACATATGATATATAGATATTTCAGTGTTTTGTGTAGTTTTTCCAAGTGAAGTCATACTTCAAGTGCATCCTGAGATTACTGACATCTGAACTTCTAAATGCCACTCAAAGAAGTTAAACATCTGTTAAGCTGTTTCATTCGCGTTTTTTCTTTTAGAATCGCTTATTGTGATCTGTGGAAAATTTACAGTCACAGTAGGTTTACAAAGTTCATTTATTCCTTTCTGTGGATCTCTGGGTGACTGATAAAATCTGTACTATAAATTTGTTATGGCATTATTCAATAATGCATGGAGAATTAGTGTTACTAGGGTGAGGTGAGGTGAAATTGGGTTTAACGCCGTGTTTGAGAATATTTCACTCATATGACGACGTGCATGCGTGTGTATGTGTATGTGAGGCTGCTTGTACTAGCCCAGACTTAAGCTGGTTTTATAGTGCTAGCTCACTGAGATACCATGCCGCAGTGAAGCAGGAATACCCCACTCAGACACATTATACTGACTCCGAGCCGACCAGTCCTTGTTGTACCCATTAATGCCGAGCGCCAGGCAGGGACCAACAAGTACCATATTTTAACGTCTTTTGGTATGACGCGGTCGGGCATCGAACCCGCGACCTTCCACTCTCCGGGCGGACGCTCTTACCACTACACCACGGATGCGGCCGAGTTACTAGGGTCTCAGTACATTTGGCAGTCTAAGACTTTCACACTTGTCTTCATAAAATAACAGACTGTACTAAAGATGTTAAGTCATGGAATACAAACAACTTGCTAAAGTTAAATGATGACAAAACTGAGGTGATGGTTGTTGGATCCAGGCAAATGCAAAAACAAATTACCACCAGTACTGTACTGGTAGCAGATGCAGAGATACAACCAGTGGACTCTGTTAAAGACCTTGGAGTTACACTTGACTCACACCTGGCAATGGACACTCATGTAAATCAACTCTGCAGAATATGCTTCTTTCATCTACGAGCCATTGGCAGAATACGCCATCTCATCAGTCGTGATGCAGCACACGGTCTGGTCCAGGGACTTGTTATATCAAGAATTGATTACTGCAATAGCCTCCTTTTTGGTATTTCTCAGAAACTGCTATCAAAATTGCAAAATGTCCAAAATACAGCCTCCCGAATCATAAGCAGAACTTCACCTGTTTCACCTGTCATGAAAAACCTCCACTGGCTGCCTGTTAAATCAAGAATTGACTTTAAAATATTGTGTTTTGTCTACAAATGCCTCAATGGCATAGGCCCAGAATACTTGAAAGAACTTCTTACCCCATACACTCCAGAAAGACAGCTCCGTTCTCAGAATCTGAACCTACTCTCTGTGCCTCGGTTCAAACTGCAAACTTTTGGAAGGAAATCCTTTGCCTGCTCTGCCCCTCTACTCTGGAACTCTCTCCCTATCACCATTAAATCAACAGTTGACTTTAATTCCTTCAAACGACTTCTCAAGACTCATCTGTTTTCACTGCATTATGACTAGCTACTAATCCCTCATTGTATATATGTATACTAGCTACTAGTCCCTCATTGTATATATGTATATTATCCACCCAATTTGTTAGCGCTTTGAGCATGGGCCTTGTGCATGGAAAAGGCTCATTATAAGTTCACATTTATTATTATTATATTATAATCATGTTATGTATTTTTCTCCTCTTGTGACAGGGTCGTATTCACCAGATTGAGTATGCCATGGAGGCAGTGAAACAGGGGTCAGCCACAGTTGGACTCAAGTCTCGGACACATGCTGTCCTTGTTGCCCTCAAGGTAGAGTCCAGTCAAATGATCATTTGGTTATCCTTACACGCTCATCACAATCACTATTTTGCCTGGTCCAAACTCAAACTTATAGCCAGGTTAGACTTGATCTTCAGTAACCCATGCTTGTCGTAAGAGGCGACTAAACGGATCAGGTGGTCAGGATCGCTGACTTAGTTGACACATGTGATTGTCTCCCAATTGCATAGATTGATGCTCATGCTGTTGATCACTAGATTGTCTGGTCTAGGCTTGATTATTTACAGAGTACCGCCATGTAGCTGGAATATTGCTGAGTGCCGCGTAAAAGTAACTCACTCACTCACTCACTCAAACTTACAGGCTGCAGTGAAACAGTGCTAATGCTAAGCAATAAAAGGCAAGATGCTTTTTGTCATGACAACCTGTTTATTATGTTATTGATATAATATGTTAAGTTATCATCCATAAAATATGTTGCCTTTTCTTGTTACAAGTATCTTGCCTTGTTATTGACACAGATCATTGTCAATGCTGCATAAAAGTTTACTGTAAAAGGAGCAGGGGTGGAAATAACTTTAAAACTGATACTGTACTCCGGTACAGTGGCACATGTAAAATCACTTGCCCTGATAATTTTTCCACTATACCAGCCGTTTTCTTGTTGATTTTTTAAATTAACAACCTAATTAACATTGGAAAGTCAACTGGACATCGGTACAGTGTGATATACAAATTTGCTTGCTCGACAGAAAAAATACACTGGACTCGGACGTCGGGCAATGGGTTATTTCCACCCCTGAAGGAGGTAACTCTGTCATTTTGATTTCCAGTTTCATAAGTACATTAATAGAAATTTTTGTCTCATTCACAAGCCTTGATAATCTGTTCTATTGCAGCGAGCACCTTCTGAGCTGTCTGCTCACCAGAAGAAAATAATTCCTGTTGATGACCATGTTGGTGTGTCTATAGCAGGCCTTACAGCAGATGCTCGACTCTTATGGTAAGGTCACCTTTCAATACCATCAAACTGTATTGTGTGTATATATGTTTCACTGTCTTAAAGATTAGATTATTTGATTTTCATTTTAAATTCAAATACTAGAACTGAAATGGATTAATAAAAATCACTCAGGACATTTTTCTAATCATCTTATGTTTTTTTGTTTCTTCTATAAATCAGATATTTAATGTGCTATAGTGTACAGTAGTAACCTTTTTATTTCATGAGTTTATTGTAACATGTTTTCTTTATTTTTTCAGCAACTTCATGCGATCGGAGTGTTTGAATTCCCGGTATGCCTACGAAACTCCACTACCTGTGTCCAGACTTGTCAGCATGATTGGAGACAGTATCCTTGTGTTTTTTAACAGAAAACAAACATGGATGGGTTATATTTTGCGTCTTACTCATTAGATGGTTTTGCTGAAATTATGTCAATGTTGAATGTTCTACAGTCGGGGCGGTGGGGTAGCCTAGTGGTTAAAGCGTTGGCTTGTCATGCCGAAGACCCGGGTTCGAATCCCCACATGGGTACAATGTGTGAAGCCCATTTCTGGTGTCCCCTGCCGTGATGTTGCTGGAATATTGCTAAAAGCGGCGTAAAACCAAACTCAGTCAGTCCATACCAATAACTGCAGTTATCCCTCGCCATAACGCCGGTCTTGGGGGTCCATGGATGATCCCCACGAGTTATGATACCCGCTTTATACATAACCCGGAATAAAAGCAAAGTAAAATTGTACTTTCCATGGACATAACAGAACTGCTATTTCGTGTACTTTGCCAAGTCAAAACTATATTGTATCGTCGTTGGTGAAAAAACAAACTTTGTAAATGAAAATAAATATGTGTATTGGAAACCTGCAATCAAATTAACCATCACTAGACATGATAATTCACTTGTCCTTCCTGTTATGCTACCATTTATTCAACTAACCCGAAAATAGCAATTAGCTGTGTACAAATGTTTTGCTCTAATCTACCGGTTATTCAGTTAAAAACGATCTGAAAATATAACATCAAAGAGTTTCTATTCCATTACCAGAATAATTTATATCTCAAGCAGTTATTTTATATATTGCTGTGGTATTAGTATTATTCTTGTTTTCTACGAACATATGTAACATAATAATTAACATAGGTTCAGCACTTTGGGTTACGTGGCTGGATACATTTTACGGAGGAGACAGTTTGACAAGTCACCGTTGACTTCCCGCGGTACCCTCCACTTTGGTTGTAAAAACAAAATGTTGGCAATTAATTGTGAAATATGACTTCAATGAGTCAATAATGCGGATCTTGGGGTCAATGGGTGTCTGTTCGTGATTGCTGAGAATAATGTGAAATTGGTGCTATTGCAGTGGGCACGAAATACGGACCCTTATGAACAAGGTAAGCGGAAGTGGTACGCGAAAGAGGTGATGTTATTTCACACACGTTTTCTCCGATGTTAGTGTAAACAATTTTAATGAATGAAAATGGGATTAAATTTAATCGAATAAAATGAAATCGAGGAAGATCGTTTTATTTTGAGTTTCCTGGCATCATATGTTTTCGGATGGCAGTGTTTACTCGCTCTATATAATGCGTTGTGTTGCATCACAGCAAACATCGTAAGTACTCGGCTGATGGCGTGTCTTTATGAAAATGTTGTCTTTCATAAAGTTATTACGATGTTCCGCTGTTCGTCTGATTTGAAATAACTGAAAGAGAAACAGAACCCAGCTACTGATTTGGTATCTGCAGTTGCTGTCTTGCTGACTTTGTAAGTAGACGCCTTCAGGCGATCTCGAACTTACTTCCATGAAAATAGCGGCCATCAAGCAAAGAAATGCCTAGACTTTGACCAAATGATTCGATTTCAAGACATTTTAGAAAAGGTTTAAAATGATCAATAAAACGACTGTACGAAAACCGAAAATACTGAATTTTTGGATTGCATTACGGTATACCGAACCGATGTCAAAATACCACGGTTCTACTAATACCACGGTATACCGTTTCACCCCTATTGAGCAAGTACCATATTCTCTGTAATGTGTGTCCTGGGCACAAGGACATGTGATTGGGTGAGGTGAGGTGAAATGGGGTTTAAAGTCGTGCTTGAGGACATTTCGCTCATATGACGACGTGCATGCGTGTGTATGTGTGGATGCTTGTACTAGCCCAGACTTAAGCTGGTTTTATAGTGCTAGCTCACTGAGATACCATGCCACAGTTAAGCACTGGAATACCCCACTCAGACACATCATACACCGAACCAACCCATCCTTGTTGTACCCATTAGTGCCCAGGGCCAGGCAAGGAACAACAAGTACCATATTTTAACATCTGTTGGTATGACGCAGCCGGGGATAGAACCGACAACCTTCCGCTCTCCAGACAGACGCTCTACCACTAGCCCACGGAGGCGGTTGGTATTGGGTCTCATCAAGATTAGACAAGACAAGTTTAATTTATTTTCAGAATTTTATTATTAATTTTATTTCAGAACTTGGGCTTTATTGAACAAACTTACTTTGAAACCAACAATTTTCTATATTTATCATGATAAATCCTACCTTTACATATTGTAGGTCTAGGCAAGTTTGTGTTTGGGGCCATTAGATGTGAGTGACTTCCAGCCTTCAGTGTAAATCTCAACACTCTATGCATATTCATGAGAAGCCTATTGTCCTTAACTTTGCTAAGAATCACAGGTACCGACACAGCGTTACGGGAGACGACCATTTGGAGTTGGACTCTTAGTAGCAGGATATGATGTGAGTCGATGTGAAGCAGCTTAATATGCGATAAACTTAATGTTACGCGATATGTTTCTTGGAAAAATGTTCGTTAGGATTATGCAGTCTCAATCTTATTTTTAATGTATACATCAGTTATGTACAATTATATATGAATATGTTGATGATGTTGACATTTGCTTCCAGGCACAAGGTCCTCACATCTACCAGACCTGCCCGTCCGCCAACTACTTCGACTGCAAGGCCATGGCTATTGGAGCCAGGTCCCAGTCTGCCAGAACATACCTGGAGAGAAAACTGGACACCTTCTTAGACTGTGAGTGCTGCAATCAGTTAAAATACTCAAATTCTATTGGAAAATTTCAAGTTTAAGGTCAAGTTCATGTGTTGCTGACCGCCTCTGTGTGTGTAGTTAGAATGCGTCCGCCGGATCCCAATCCCGACCGCGTCATACCAAATGACGTTAAAATATGGTACTTGTTGGTCCCTGCCTGGCTCTCGGCATTAATGGGTACAACAAGGACTGGTCGGCTCGGAGTCAGTATAATGTGTCTGAGTGGGGTATTCATGCTTCACTGCGGCATGGTATCTCAGTGAGCTAGCACTATAAAACCAGCTTAAGCCTGGGCTAGTACAAGCAGCCGCACATACACATACATACACACGCATGCACGTCGTCATATGAGCGAAATATTCTCAAGCACGACGTTAAACCCAATTTCACCTCACCTCACCTCACCTCACCTCACCTCACCTCATGTGTTGCTATGTTCATGTATTGTTATAGACAATTGGAGACAACTTACATGTCAGTGATTACAAGACCAGTAAAGAGGTAGATGCTGTAGTGCAGTTTTGTATCAATGCACTGAATGTTTAAATACTGTTTTGACAAACATATGGATTTTCAAAAATCTCAGTTTTGAACACACTAAGGATATTTTAAACAATTTGGACACAAAGTTTGGATTCCTGGATAATTCTCTGCAATTAGGACAGAGGTCAAGGTGAATTTGCAAGCAACTTGTACAGAATTTCTGCCATGTATTCAGTCATGTGAATTGGAAATGGGTGCGATTTTCTACCTCTTCTCCCACAGGTACCCTGGAGGAGCTGATCCTGCACGGGATGAGATCGCTGAGAGACACCCTACCCCAGGACTTGGAGCTTACAACCAAGGTGAATGAGTTCATGATGTACACTCACTATCTCAGTCGAGGCAGTGCGTCACGCCGAAGACCCGGGTTCGATTCCCCACATGGACACAATGTGTGAAGCCCATTTCTGGTGTCCCCCGCCGTGATATTGCTGGAATATTGCTAAAAGCGGCGTAAAACTAAACTCAGGCAGGCAATCGAGGCAGTGGGGTAACCTAGTGGTTAAAGCGTTGGCTCCTCGCGACGAAGATTCGGTCAGATTCCCCACATGGGTACAATGTATGAAGCTCCATTTCTGGTGTCCCACACCGTGATATTGCTGGAATATTGCTAAAAGCGGCATAAAACCATGCCCACTCACTACTATTTCAGCCATATTTCCTTCACCTTTTGCCGTTGCGGAGTTATCACCCTTTGTACACCATACAATGCTTCTGTTATCATTTGTTCTTGGTTCAAGTTCCCAGGATTAAGTATTGTGTAGGTATTATGTGATTCAATTGTGCGATATAGGGGGTCAGTTAATTGTGGGGTAACAGATCCAGGAAGTATTTAATGTTCTATAGGGATGAGCACTTTTTATATCCATCTGTATCTTATAGTCCTTAGATACCGTGAAGGTCCGGGTTACAATATTGATCTTCAGTAACCTATGCATGTCGTAAGTGGCGACTAACTGGATCGGGTGGCCAGGCTCACTGACTTGGTTGACACATGTCATCGGTTCCCAATTGCGCAGATTGATGCTCATGCTGTTGATCACTGGATGGTCTGGTCCAGACTCGATTATTTACAGACCGCTGTCATATAGCTGGAATATTGCTGAGTGCGGTGTAAAACTAAACTCACTCACTCACTTGTAGTCCTTAGATCTCTTAAGAGGTGGAACTAATGTGCAGTCTTTTTGTATCCAATGTTCCCAGGGAAAGCAAAAGTACTGAAGGTGAACTTTTTTCAGATTTATAAATATATAAATGCCTTCATCACAATCCACTTTGTTTGATCAAAACTGTGTCAGCTGACAAATAAGCAAGGTTGTCCAATGAAAGCAGTTGTCCAGTTACCATGTTTCTGCCTATCAAAGCGCTCCCACAGATGGAGACATAGGTGGCCAAACGGCTTCAGTTTGTCATCCAGAATTGAATCGCTTTAGTATAGGAGGATCATAGGAATAAAATATTGCTGATCATGGCATTGAACAACAAACAAATAAGACAAATTTTTAATCTTTCTGGAGCAAGTTCAGCATGTTTAGACTTTCATTAGTATCTGTTTGTGTTCTATTTGATTCATGATAATTGATATTTTGAATGTTTCTCAAGATTGCTTTCATGCTAGAAATATTTTAATGCCACAATTATAATGCCATCTGACATTCTTCATTACAGAACTGTTCTATTGGGATTGTCGGCCGAGACCAGGACTTTACAATCTATGATGATGATGATGTTGCTCCATATGTATCCTTTAGTCCAAGACTTGTGTGTGAATCATTTAGAGGGTCAAAGGATGGTCGAGCATGGGGGAATAAGACCTTTGCAGAGGGCCTCTTGGGCAATGTTTCTGTTTGGAGATCAGTATCTCCTCAAAACTGAGAAGTACAAACACACATTTGTCTCTTATCAATCTCTATGGTCAATAGCCAGTCCTATTCATTTGAGGACCGCCTCCGTGGTGTAGTGGTTAGAGCGTCCGCCCGGAGAGCGGAAGGTCGCGGGTTCGATCCCCAACCGCGTCATACCAAAAGACGTTAAAATATGGTACTTGTTGGTCCCTACCTGGCGCTCAGCATTAATGGGTACAACAAGGACTGGTCGGCTCGGAGTCAGTATACTGTGTCTGAGTGGGGTATTCATGCTTCACTGCGGCATGGTATCTTAGTGGGCCAGCTCTATAAAACCAGCTTCAGTCTGGGCTAGTACAAGCAGCCGCACATACACATACACACGCATGCATCGTCATATGAGCGAAATATTCTCAAGCACGACGTTAAACCCAATTTCACCTCACCTCACCTCACCTCACCTCACCTCACCTCACCTCTTCATTTGGGGCACCACTGTTCATGTCTCATTGTCTGTTCTATATTTACTAGTAGAGGGAACATTGAGCCAATGCAAGCCCTTGATAAATTCTTAAAACGTTTGTTTAAGCATGGTAAAAAAATAAATTTATCACATGCCAATTCATGCCAGGGACAATTGAGATCAGCATTCCTCGTTGTCTATAAATGGTTTTATTTCAAATGAAATATGGATAGTTTCTTGACGGTAGTGCCTCTTTGGCAAATACATGGAGGGATGTTTCGAAGTTTGAACTTTTGTGATTTCCATGGAAATATAGGGGACATCGGATTGAATGTTGAAGAAAGTATTCCACTGTAATGACCTTGACTCTGACCAGCTAACAAAGATTGAAGGCGAGGAGAGATCTGCGCCTCCACCAGTAGAGGAAGGGGAGGTAAGTCTGTCAACACTCTCTGCGAAGTATTTAGTGTAAAAGCTTAAGTAAGTTTTACTTTTAAAAAATGGTGATAGATTCTTAAATAAATTATGGTGTAATACTAGTTATGTCAATATATGATTTGTGAAAAAGTAAACTCAATATAAGCTTCTAAAATGTTGTATTAGGATGCATTCTGTTCGATCCTTGTGAATCTGTGAAGATCCGGGTTGGAATTGATCTTCAGTAACCCATGCTTGTCATAAGAGGCGACTAATGGGATCAGGTGGTCAGACTCACTGACTTGGTTCACAAATGTCATTGTATTGCATAGATTGATGCTCATAGTGTTGGTCACTGGATTTTCTGGTCCAGACTCGATTAGTTACAGACCACCATCATATAGCTAGAATATTGCTGAGTGCGGCGTAAAACTAAACTCACTCACTCACTCACTCGATCTCTGTGCCATTATTCCTGATATGTAAACATCCTTGTCTTCAGGCTGCCATGGAGGCCCAGGATGATGCTGCAGCACCATCAGAACCTAGTGTAGCTCCTCCAGACACTGAGGGTATGGACCACTAGACAGACAGTCATCATCATCCCTGAGTTGACACGATGCTCTCATTGTCCCTACAAGTCATACATCATCAACAATGCTGGAGTCCGGACGTCATTACTGACAATAATACTGTTTACTGTCTATCATGACTCTGTCAGAGTATAAATCCTTTATTTTGAAGATTGTCATCATTAGTTGATGTTACTGACAAATTGTTATGTGTTTTCAAAAGATGCTTGAATACTGATGTACAAAGAAAGTGAAGTTCATTTTCTAGGTTTGCAATTTTGAATCTTGAACCTGTTTATGAACTATAGTGCTGGTGACTTGAAGAGCATTGAACATTGAAACATATTTATGTCATCAACTGTACATTTCCGTTCTGTTACTGAACATGTGTAATACAATAAATATCAATTAGAAATGGTAAATCAGTGTTTGTTGTTTGTTGAAACATTAATCTGTTTTGAAGACCAACGCTCCAATGTTCAAATACATGTATTCTTCAACCCATCAAGATCCGAGTTAGAATTGGTCTGCAGCAACCCATGCTTGTTGTAAGAGGCGACTAACGGGATCGGTTGGTCATCCTCGCTGACTTGCTTGACACATGTCATTATATCCCAATTGTGAAGATCGATGCTCGTGGTGCTAATCACTGGATTGTCTGGTCCGGACCCGATTATTGACAAACTACCGTCATATAGCTGGAATAGTGCTGAGTGTGGAGTTCAACCAACCAACCAACCAACCAACCAACCAACCATCAAGTATCTGCCAATTAACAGATCTAGAAACATTCCCATGGACCTGTAAACACACACACACACATCTAAATCAGTTGATGGTACATTTCAACAATGTAAACAATGAACTAAGTTTTTGGCTACCAAACTGTTTCCCAAATTGTGCTTCTTTGTAAGTGTACCTCCCCATGAAACCTTTACCCACCCACAGTGCATTTTGTAATGTGAGTGCAATCAGACTTCCAATAAGCTGTACCTGTACTTGGTCCCAAGTGCCTGTCATGTGAATACCTGGTTGTGTAAAACAAGGATCATTTTGATGATGTTGTATATGACATGGTTGAGATTTTGTCCTAATCCTGCGAATCAATCCTGGTTGGTTCATTTGCAGGAAGACGACTTTTTACCACATGCATTCGTCACTACTCACCCCTTTCCATAACTCCAATATTTGGCTTGTCCTGGACAAACACAAGTTAGTTATGTACAGGTGTTGCAATGCTTTGTGCAGGTGTCAGTCGACTTCATGTGAATTACTTCCCTGCCCAATTTACTTAAACAATGGAAGTATATAGAGTTTTGTATGCAAGCTTTGCAGTGGGTGATACAGGATCTGGTTCAAGGTGTCAGTCTTCATCATGTCGAAAATAGTATAACTACCCCAGTGAAGAAAAATTGTTTTCTTGTTATCAGAATATTAGTGTAATAATATAAGCTGATTCTAGTACCTTTTTTCGGGTTCAAACCCATCCGGGATTCGAACCCACACCCTCAGAGTCGAGTACCTAATCGCCAGCACTCAGTCAGCTGTCAAACCCATTCACAAAATGAAAGTCGGACAACTGGTAGTCCAGACAACGGACTTTGTGTGCCCTTCTGATAAGTGTAAATTGGCACGGCTGACTTAGTGTGCTGGCGATTAGGTGCCTCACTTTGGGGGTGTTTAAATCCCAGATGGAACTCGACCCTCCAAGAAGTACTAGAATCTGTATTTTACCGAGAAAGTGTAATCCAAATATTAGTACTAATTTATGTTACGTTTGACCTCTTTCTAAATGGCATTGTGTATTCATAATATTAGCTGACATTATGACACCCATGCACCCCATAAAACTGAATTCACCCTGTATTGTCAACTTACATATTATAGATGTGCCTTAAGTGTGAAAAACACCGGTCACTCATTAGATTCTGCATTTGTGAAAGGTAAAGGAAGGGTCGGTGGGGTAGCCTAGTGGTTAAAGCGTTCGCTTGTCAAAGCCGAAGACCGGGGTTCAATTCCCCACATGGGTACAATATGTGAAGCCCATTTCTGGTGTCCTGGGCCCCGTTCCTCAAAGCGATCGTAGCGCTAAGGTGATCGTAACTCCCATACTGTAACATAGACTTACGACTGTCGTAGCGCTACGATCGCTTTGAGGAACGGGGCCCAGGAATAATGCTAAAAGCGGCTTAAAGCTATACTTACTCACTGTCCTAGGAACCCTGCCTGGACACCAAGAATGTGTATGTACCAGGTTTAAGTAGGTTACCCTTGTCCTGTCCGATGGGACCAGAGACTCAGATTTGTGACATGTGACCTAGATCGCTGTTCATTTCAATTGAAGGTTCGATTATGGTGGTCTGATTCATGCTAAGACCCTGTTCCAGAAAGGCGTCCAAGCGCTGAGATGCGAAACTCGCAGGCGTACCACAGTCAGCATTCAAAGCTCACATTGTTGAACGGGTCCAGGGCCCCGTTCCTCAAAGCGATCGCAGCGCAAAGACGATCCATACTTTAACATAGGCTTACGACAGTCGTAGCGCTACGATCGCTTTGAGGAACGGGGCCCTGGGGCCTTATACTCGAAACGTTCGTAGCCCTAAGAATTCTTAACTTTGATCGTAGCCAATGTGTTAAGAATGGGCTTAAGAAGTTCGTAAGGCTACGAACGTTTCAAGAATAGCTAGCCTGGCCTATATACACATGGTCAAAGAAGACCAGGATCTTCATCTGTTCAACACGGATTCTACCATGACATTAGTAAATACTGGATTGTGATTGGTTAATCAAAGTCATTCAGAGGTATATAATCACGTTATATGCGTCTGATTTTCCATCACAGTATGTATTGGTTTTAAACCTTAATAACGCGGTGTAGAATGGAGATAAACATACTGTGTTGGAAAATCAGAGGTAAATAACAAAATTATTATAGCTCTAAATCTGATTTAAAACCAAACGCGTTGCGTTGTAAGGTCTTTTGTGTGGGTCCCAATTGTGCAGATCGATGCTTATGCTGTTGATCACTGGATTGTCTGGTCCAGACTCGATTATTTACAGACCGCCACCATATAGTTGGAAGATTGCTGAGTGCGCCGTAAAACTAAACTCACTCACTCACATTTGTGTGGGATTACATGTTGAGTGCCTTAGAAAGGTTTCAGGCAATTTGAACTCAAACGCACACTGCCACTGGCAAATAACGAACGCTCCTTTAATGATACAAACCTTTCTATCGATTCCACCTGATCTATCTACCAGATAATTCATTTCCAACAGTGACATTTCTACAAATTAACTAAATATGTAAAATGTGTTTGTGGTCATCATTGTTGACTTTCATGATCCACATTAACACGTAAGCTCTCTAAAGCAGTATTTGTGAGCTCGTTCCATCCTTCAAACGAGATGTAGCCAGTACGTTTAACGGGTGTAAGTCTACGGTATGCAGACATTGGAACGTGTCTCCGCGGGTACAAAATGTTTTTGGCCAGGTAAACAACCTAGATCCAAAAACGATTATTCAGAAACAAGGCTTTACGAAATCGAACCCAGTTAAATTACTATTCACGGAACGGGGGAACTATGTATTCAGCAGCGTCCGTACGTACGTACGTCCGTACGTTAACGCGATATCTCATGAACTGTTGTACCCAATGTCTTCAAATTTGGTGACAGCCTACATTGGGGGATTACGCAGACGCCAGTCGATTTTGGTGATCTTGACCTTATTTTCAAGGTCACCATGACATGTATTCAAACTCTTGATAACGCGATATCTCATTGGGGAATGTACGCTTTGATAGCCTACATTAGGGGATTACGCAGACGCCATTTGATTTTGGTGATCTTGACCTTATCTTCAAGGTCACCATGACACGTTGACCTATTTTCAAACTTATGTAAACGCGATAAATCATAAAACATTGCACCCAATGTCTTCAATTATGTCGACAGTCCACAATCGATGATTATGCAGACACCAGTCATTTCAGGCATCTTGTATGTGACCAAAAATAAAAAGTAGTAAATATGCTATAAATATTTCATTCTTCTTTAGCGGCGTGGGACATTGCCATATTAGTGGCAAACACTTGTTGGAGTTCTAATTACTGACCAGAAGATTAGCAATCGCCAACATGCATCAAATCTGCATGATCGGCCAGTGTCGTACCACCGTAAACAGACTGACACACTTCAGCTGGCCACTTGTGTTCACCACGTAGTAACTAGCGCAATCACCGATGGTATCGTACTTGTTTCAGACGAGGCAAGATTCACACTTGACCTTCTGGAAAGACGTCGACGTTCCTGTAGAAGTCTCCGAACGAACGTTACGTGAACGTCAACGTAAGAAAACATGGTGTGTAATGATCATTGGTCGCTAAGAATGCCACTGCGTATAATATCCATGGGCGGGTCGCTCGACAGTATTGCTGACACTACATAGTGCCGGTTGCCAGCCAGGCTAGTCCAAGCCCTGATGTCCATGACAATGACGCCTGTGCCACCGAGCATTTGCTGCAGCTGGCAACATCCCATTGCGGAACACGACCTCAATGAAACTGCCAGGTATGAGTCCCGACCTTATCCCTGTAGAGCACGTCAGGGACGTGAGCGGGAGACGTCTAAACCTACGTCACATGACGCCCAACGTTGAGCTTGACTCATTATTCACTAACTCATGCTTGTTGTAAGAGGCGACTAACGGGATTGGGTGGTCAGGCTCGCTGACTCGGTTGACACGTCATCGTATCCCAGTTGCGTAGATAGATGCTCATGCTGTTGATCACTGGATTGTCTGGGTCAGACTTGATTATTTACAGACCGTCGTCATATAGCTGGAATATTGCTGGGTGCGACGTTTAACAATAGAACATTCTAACAACACTCGATTATTCAGCATTGACCATATGAAGGAGCAAGACATAGTTCCTAAACGTAATGACAAAGGATAAACAAGTAGTGTATTCACGTCTTTCAACCTATAAATCTTTCTAGGCTGTTTGCATCTTTACAATACAGAGCCAACATTGTAACATTTTGCATACAGTCCTTCCATTTTTCACACCTCAATATACTTTTGTGTTTCATAAATATTCTGTCTTTTATGGGAGAGTACCTATGCAGTAAGCTGGTTTTGATAAGGAGACAGATGTGAGGGTGGTATTAAATTATTCTTAGTCCGCCTCCAGTATTGCTAGACACGTGGAAGTAGGCAATTATATACCGCCGCAGCTGCTGCACTATTGTTATCCCTTCAGATCAACATCCCAATCGAAAATCTGTATTCACCTTCAAATATGTGAAAAGTCTCACAAACCAACCATGCATGACCCAGCATAGTCTGTCTCACAGTCCCTGAGCCGCATAAACTTCCCTTCCACCAAGCCCTGTCTCATATGCTAAAACTCTTAATGACGTAAGTCTAGATTTAACAAGTTCTGAATCTCCCTTCTCATTGGGGCACCTTTTCAATGTAAAAGTTATTGTTTGTATCTATCAAAATTTACTTTCAGGGACTCAGCGTTAGGCTTTGACCCAGCACAACTGGACTCCAACCTCGTCAAGCATGACGACGTATAAAATTAAGCTGTTTCAGTGTGGACGCCACAACGTGAACGTTGAACACTGAATCATAACGTAGAGAGGCAATAATCCGCGAAACTATTTGCCCCAGGGCTTCCCGTGTTGTTTGCGTAACACACCGTCATGTATAAACCCAAACATTTCAGGATACTTACTTACCTCATATGGCAGGACCATATTGTATTTTCGGCAAGGAACCTAGCTCTAATTTC